TGAAATTTGAGCAACCTGGTCAGGAGTAAGCTTAGCACAAAAGCCAGAAGCTGCATTATTGTAGCTATACAACAAAGTATCCTCTGCAGCCTACTCACCGCAATCATCATAACATGAATCAACTTGATTTGGAATTCCAGAATCAATTCTAAGCAGAAGCAACCATTCAAAGCTTTCACGATCAAAGTAACCCAATTTTGTCTTTTTAAATTAAACAAAAACTAAAAAAATTATGATCTTCTACATTAACAGTTATTGCATTCCCCTCCTTCTCCGATTAGATTTGACTTGTGAGTGCAAAATCGATTGAGCAAAATCAAAAGATAAAATAAATTCAAACAGTTTCCATATACAAATCGTAAGAAACATCATTGAAAACCCACACCTAGATCTATATGAAAAAGGTAAAATCAAATTGAATAGGAGATTAAAACAAACCTACTCACATATTTCCTCGATATCTTTCTTATCTCCGACACCCTAAAAAATGACCGTGTCATAAACCAAAACATACTGTTCCATATTTACAACCTCATTTCCCTAATATAGTCCAGTATCATCCAGAAACTGCCACAACAAACAAATAATTCATCAGAAAAATCAATCAACATAAAAAACAACAATAAATTTATTCATTTTACCTTCTCCAATTTTTGAGTACGTTTCAAATCAGCAACAGTTGACCCAGCCTTTGAAATAGCCTTGGTGACACCATATTGTTTCTTCGGCATCGTCGCCTGCGAGGGACTGTTCGCATGCTTCGACGATGCCCCATCCCTTCATAACTCCTCGTGATCTCTCTCAAAACAACAACAATTGAAAATGTGAAGAATTGAAAAATTGAAAAGAAGAAATCAATTTTTTAAATATATTTCCCAAATCAACGAAACAAAACAGAGATACAAAAAATCGATGGATGAATATCGAATTGAAGGAAAAAAGAAACCATAAATAGAGAAGAAAAGTGAAACGAAAACCCTAAATGGATGATGGATGTTGTAATCGTGCAGATTAAATGAAAGGAATGAGAAGGGTTTGGAAGACAGAATGCATGGAGAGTGGTAGCGGACGATTGAGAAGCGAAAAGACTTGAAGTAGCAGACGATTGAGAAGCGAAAAGACTTGAAGCTTTTAGAACAAACTTTGATAAACCCTCATGAGCCATATGTCGACTTTTGGAAGAAAATAGTAGATTTTCTTATATCGTAGATTTAGAACTAATTAGCCTTTCAACTTTTTAACTTAGTTAATAATTTTATGTTGTTCCGATAACAATTATTACAATTTAATTCTTTAAACTATTTCCGTTAGTTAAATTAGTTATTTTCATTTTTTAACTCTAAAAATTTAATGTCTCAATCAATTTAGAGGTATTGTTTCAATTTTAATAATCGTTTTCTAATAAAAAGAAACAAAAATTATTAAAAAATAATAATTTTTATTTAAATTACAAATAATATTAAAAATTAAATAAAAAAATTATACATAAATATTTCAACGTCGTTCCTCGTTGACTTAAGCAACATATTTGCCATTGAAGCTACACACATTTTCTTTTCAAGATTGTGGTTTATATTCTTTCAATTAGTATTATAACAAAAAAAACACATTTTAACAAAAATTTCAGTCATACACGTAAAGACTTTTGTATCTTTTTTATGTAGGGTTTCTCTATTTAAAGAGAAATTTATATCATTTTGTAAAAAACTAATTCTTTCAACATTCTCTGCAATATTAATAACAAAATATTTTGATTAATAAACAATTAAAAATTTAACTTAACTATAGTCATATGATAATTTATATTGATAGAATAATAATCTCCCAAAATTTTGAGACATTGCGATAAAGACATCAAAATTTTATTAGAATTGACATGGTAGCATGAAAAAAGTCAAACTAATTAGACAAATTATAAAATTTTATAAATACTAATATTTAGATCTGTGCGAAATACGGGTTAAAATTTTTCTAAATAAAAATATATATTTTAGAACTACTTATAATTTATCAATTAAATTATAATAAGATTATAATTTATTATAAAATATTTTTGTTATCAATAGTATACATAAAAAAATTATAATATATTAATGGTTAAAAATGTATATAAAATATAAAAAGAATAACAAATTTATATTTTCATAAGAAATTTAGGTATTCACCCATCATAATTGTCTCATAATTTTTAATAAAAACAAATATTTGTATTAATTTTTTAATATAAATGTTAACATTTTATCATAAAAAAGATAATATCTTTTCAAGTCAATTTTATTTTTTCTTGTATCATGTCATAATACATATACTCCCTCCATTCCAAAATAAATATCATTTTATTAAATATATAATATTTGTTTATCTAAGAGAAATCATTGGACTAATTATTATAGAAGTGGTAAAAAAATTATATTCTAATTCAAAAACAAATTTGAAAAACCAAAATAATATTGAATAATTTATTAATGTTTTAAATGTATCCCGTAAAATTAATGTTTTAAATATATTCAATTAACTCATTTTTCAATTGCCAAAAAAAAGATTTAACCTACAATAACATTTTCAAAAATTCATTTTTAATTGATTTATAATAAATATTTATAAAAATATATGATGTGATTAATAATAAATTTCTATTTATAAACCATTCACCCGTACTAAATTTTCAATTTAATAGAATTTTCAATTATAATTATAAATTTTATTGTAACATTTTATTCGTAATATTTAATTTTATTTCCTTAACAAATTTAATATGTTATTTTGATTTTTATTACACCATTAATTATTATTAATGCATATCAATCATGCAAAATCATTTTTATATCAAAAAATCAAAATAAAAAGTAAATTGCATTAATTTGGAAAAATAATCAAAAGCCAAAAGCTGGTCATATTAGTATCAAAAGATTCAAACATTATCTCAAATATGAAGAGTTCACAATTTATGTCAACAATAATAAGGAAACAGGGATATGTTAAGACGTGTAACAAAGGGGAAACCCCAATAAAAGCATCTAATTGAAGTTTTGCATCCAATATAGATTGGAGATGGTATAATATATGAGTTCAATTAGATGCTTTTACTCCAATCTATATCAGATCATTCCCTGCTCCTACTCCTGCTCTTTGAGAGTATAATTAGTTTTTGTTGCCACATAAGATCAGAAGCCAAAACAGTGCCTAAGGATCTACAAACCCGAGAGGAAACATCATAATTTCAGAATCGGAAAAAACTATAAAAGTGCTAAACAAAGAGTCACTCGACTCTTAAAACCATTAATGAAATGAATTCTTATCAAAGAAATTATGTCAAGCTAAATCCCGACCTTAATCATCTCCAGCTAAGTTCCTATAAATGAAATTTCTTAAAATTAAATAAGAGCATTCAACTACATAACACAGTTAGCCTAAACAGTGCAAGCACATAATTTGCAAAAAAATATTTCAGTAAAAGAGTTATGTTTGTATGTAAAAAACATGTAACATATGTTCTCCCTTATTTCAGTTCTGGAATTTACCATTCTGGGTGAAATCACTTCAAGATGGGGGTGAATATATAAGATATTTTCAAGGATGGCAAAGCAAGAAATCAGATCACTGCAATCACATTCTGACATGAAATTCTCACTGCAGTTACTCACCATTATTCCGTCAATCTCACCTTATAACCAAATAGGCATTGTGTGCCTTGATTAACCAGAAAATCCACATCGAAGCATCTACAGATAGATATAAATTTTAAACCAATGCTAATTTGTATCTAATGGCTAAAAGTTAAGATTACTTAGTCAGAGCGTGCAACGATGAGAAATCGCGAGAAGAGAAGGAACCATAATTCATTGATTTTGTGCACTGGAATAGGAAAAGAGAATATCTGGGGAAAGAGAAATTGGAACGTTGAATTGTGAAGGATTTTTGGGGGAAGATGAAAGTTTGGCGACGCTTGCAATTCACTAAAAGCCCAATATTAATGAGAGAAATTAAAAAATAAAATAAAAATAATATTAAGACATTATAAGAAAATTTTCATTTATAGTAAAATTATAAATAGAAGAATGCATGAGAGTATAATAAGTGGCAAATTTGTCAAACTATTCATCTTGTTTTATTCTATTGTATAATTGTGTTAGACTATTTTTTTTTATAAATATTTTAAATTGATTAATTTAATTTACTATCTATTTAATTATTCAAAATAATAAAATAAATTTAACGTTATTATAAAATAAAATTAAAAAAAATATTTTTTAATATAAAAACAATAGATTAATTCACATATAATAATATTTTATATTTTATATATTATCATAAATTTAATATTGTATAAAATTTACATTTAAAAAAGAAAAGAAAATTAAAAAGTTATTAAGGGTGATTAGAACTTTTGGAGAATGATTTTTTTTAGTTGGAAAGGAAGGCCGAGGCCCAAGCAGAAAAACACCCTTAAATTTTAAGTCTTACAAAAGAAGCATTTATATCATCTTCTTGCATCTTTCTCAACTCAAAAGGACAATCCTCCAGGTACAATCTCTTATAATTGTTATTACTCCTCATTTTCTGCCTCATGTTAACTTCTAAACAATTACTAAACTCAGTAGTAAAAAATCGTTGTTTATTGTCATTGCATACTAGATGATTCTAGACCTGCTTAGCAACTTTGCAATCCCTTAAGGCATGCAAATTTGTCTTTGGTTGGTCTTCGTAATCATCATAGTACTTGAGATGGCTCAGATACATGTTGGTTTTAATCCCATTTTGGTAAACCTTCCAAACAAAGATTTTGATTCTCTCTAGTACCTGCAAGTTCCAAATGTATTTTCAGTGGGTATGCATCTCTTTCTCTATAGATTTCTTTAAAAAATCATACATACTGGAGATGGATAAAACTCTTGTATCAGTTCCTCCCCAAGTGCAACTGTCAATGGCGTCTTCATTCTTGCTAGGAGGAGGGGTGGCTTGGATTTTGTCCAAGATTTCCTTGTCAAAATTTCTTCTTATTAGTATGTTTCAAGTGAAGAAGTTTCTTTGAAGCCAAATTTAGCAAGTATTTGTCTTCTAGTGGTAGCAGGTGTGATGCAAAAGAACACAATATTTGACTTATCCATGCTGACCCTTTGACCTAAAGCCTTGCAAAATAGGTTTAAGATGTCCATAACAATTTGTATTTGAGCTTCCGAAGCCTTCCCAAATAGGATTAAATTATCCTCAAACATTAGGTGTGACATTTTGGGCCTTTTGCTACCAATCTTCATGCATTCCCGCCTTTTATCTTCAACTGCTTCAATTATCAAATGAGACAGCTTGTCAATGTAGAGCACAAACAAATAAGATGACAAGGGGTCACCTTGTCCTATTCCTTTCTTGGCCTCAAAGTAATCTCCTTTGTCTCCCTTCCAAAGAACTCTCATTTTGACAGAGTTAACAACTTCCATGATGAGGTTCTCCATCTTTCCAAGAATGCCAACTTCTGTGAGAACATCATGAACAAACATTCAGCTGATGTTATCATATGCCTTAGCAAGATCAACCTTAATTACGAAGTATCTGATTTTACTCTTGGTTTTTTGCATACAATGAAGGATTTCTTGAGCAATAACAATGTTATTGTGAATGCTTCTTTTAGGAATGAAACATGTATGGTTTGGAGTCAAAATGTTATCCATATGGTACTTTAATTTATTCATAATAACCTTGTTGAACTCTTTGTATATCGTGTTGCACAAGGCTATTAGCCTAAAATGATTAACAATTTAAGGGCTCTCCAATTTTGGGATCAAGAATAATTCAGTGCTATTAATGCCTTCTAGATTGGACTCCTTGTTCCATAGAATCTGAATATATTTGCAGACATTATCTCCAGTGATATGCCAAGTGATTTGATAGAAGCCTCCAGAAATCCATTGGTAGGTATGAAAAGTTTTATGAGAGGAAACGCAAGAAAGGAAGAGAGAGGGAATAAGAGAAAATGAATTAGTTAGTGCTGGTGTTGTACTCCAAAATTTCCCTCTCATTTCTCAAAGGATCACCCTGGATCCTCAGGTTTGCTTCCATTCAATTCCAAGCCTTGGATTACAAATTTTCCAAGAAAGTCATTCACAAGGGCAAAATGGTCATTTACATACTGAAAAGTCAAACTTTGACTTTTGGATCAAAATCAAGTTTCAAGAATCATATTTCATCAAGACATGTTGGAATGTGAGATTTGTTTCATCAAGATATTCAAAAGTCAGAATTACTTTGGAAAAGTCAAATTTCTAAATACTTAGAATTTTTTCTAAGTGTTTAAAGAAATATGACAAGCTCAAACTTCTGATCAGATTATCACCATGATGCAAGCTGATTCTGGAAGAACTTGACACAAAAGTTATAGATTTCAATGAGATCTAAAACATTGCAGAACAAAACTTCTTTTAGAAATGCTGGGATTTCAAGTTATACGTTCTCAAAGGCACGTCTCTGAAGCTTAGGCATTTAGAAAATTCTGAGTATTTTCAAGTCAGAAGTTGTCTACAACTTCTAGGCCAGTTTTCACGCAGGCGCAGTCAGAAGTTGTAAGAGCAATTCAAAGAGGATTTACAAAGTGTGTTACAAGATTTTGGGAAAGTCTGAGAACTCGCTCAGAACATGCTGAAGCAAAGGGATTCAAGGATAAGAAGTTGAATGTTTATTTTAAGTTACGCTGGTGCTGAACTTCTGACCCTGAATTAAGCTATGATGCATAATCTCACATTGCAGGATTTCTGGTTTGATAAATCTCATCATCATTTAATGCACACAACCACTTTTGAGTTTTTATCCAAAGGATTTCCCCACATGTGAGAAAGAAGTACCATTACTGTCCTTAAAAAGCAAACTTTTGTACAAGGTTATGCTAGACCCATGCTTTGCTTTTGCCTCTGAGGGTAATTTTCCTTAATTCATGCTTACAAATCCAGCTTAGGAACGGCCAAAAGCTGCTAACCACCATACTTCCTTCAAGAACAAGGCGACACCCTAGCATAGGAAGGTTATGTTCAACGCTTCGGTCAGAACATCACCAAATCCCAAAATCTCGTGCACTGCTATAGCACAATCCTATAACCAATAGCTAATCCAGTCCACGCCTGTATTTTCCCAAATCCCATATTTGCACCAAACTAGCATACGAAAACTGTGTGTAAAAAGAAATGGAACAGTATGCCAAAAAGGTTTAAAATCCCATCCAAAAAAAAACCACAACAAACCCGTATATAAATAAGTTGCTCCATCACACGTTTAAGAGGCTGGCTTTTGGAGAGAGAGAGAATTATAAAAGAGAGAAAAGGAAACAGCAAAAACTTTCGCAAATCCTAAACAAAACCTTTGTTCTTCTCTTTGAATCAAATAACATAACCACTATTCCGTTGCTCTCACTGACTCCAGAACATCTGAAGGCAGCAACTCAAGTTCCAAGCAAACGCTTCAGATTCAAGGTAAGTCTTTCTGACTTTGCATATTTTCATTTAGAACATCCTTAAATATGTAAATATCATAGTATTGATGCTGGCCATATCATTGCATAAGTAGAAGAAACTATGGATCACAACTTGTTGAATAAAGCTAGGCTCAGAATTAGAATTAGAACTTCTATAAACTGTTGTGCTTTTATCCTTCTGATTTTCTGTTTATTAAGAATTGAATAAATTGCTGATGTGCTGATTAACACGAGGAAAGAGTTGAAACGTAGCACAGAACTTCTGATTTTCATTCATGGTTTTAGCACAACACAGAACTTCTGAGTTTTTCTTCACTGTTTTAACACACAAAATTTATATGATTTTCTCACTGTTCAAACACACTGAATTTCTGATGTTCACTCGCTGTTAACACGCACTGAACTTTTGATGCTCACTCACTATCTTAGCACATACTGAATTTCTGAGTTCTCTTCACTGTTTTAATACACAGAACTTCTAAGACTTTCTCACTGTTCTAACACTCAGAAGTTCAGCACATAGAAACTCATAACTTTTGTATTTTCCCTCTAACATTTCTTGCAGGACCTCAGAGTGTATCAATCCAGAACTTTTGACATTTCTTTCTGAACCATAACGTACCCGGCATCAGAACTTATGATCCCCTTTGTTCTGCTCTCAGCAACATACTAATTCTATCTCCCATTATTTGCCTTTTTTATCATTTTCAATATTAATACCCTTTTATTAATATAAAAAAGGACATAAAAATATTTTCTTTTTATTAATAAATTTATTTCTTTTTCTTAATTCATTAAGACAAAAAACCATTTTCTAAACAAGTCTTTTTTCTTTCTTGCATTGTACATTTCAATGTGGTTGTAATAGTTAATTAGGATTTAAATTCTTGCAACCCCCCATTTGTAAATTTGCACCCCCATCCCTAAATGATGTAATAGCGTAGGACTTTACATTTCCGTAATTTATCGCTTTCAAATGTAAATGCTAGTGATTAGGGTGTGTATGGTAAGACATAAAATCAACAAATAGATAACCCTAATCAAGACTAAATGCATGAAAATCAAACACACTTTCACACTAGCACCCTTAGGATAATCCCACTTTGTTGCCTTTCAGAAAATAGTCATATCCCTCGAATATGAGCATTTTAGCAAAGACCATCGATAAAAGATCGTAGTCCCTCGATGACCCTCGATGTTGCCTTCGGTAAACGATCTAGTCCCTAAATGACATTGCTAAAACGTCCCATAAGATGCCTTCTATGACTATACAAAAACGTCCCATGCCCGTCCCTTCATATCCAACTACGGGGCTTCTTACCAAAACTATGGTAAGATAGCAACATCTAAAGAAGGAGGAAAAGATCATTTAAGACCTTTGAGTAGGTAGATTCGCTCCTAATTGCTCGCTTGCTCACAACAAAAACATTTTATACACCAATACACTCATTTGTAACATTTTCAAAAGACAAACACTTTGTATATGTTCTTATAGAAACGAGAGTCATTACAAAGGAGACACCTTTTCAAAATCTCTTTCAAAAACACATTCCACAAACACATCTTTGAACTATTTTTGAAACAAAACTTTGTATGCGTTCTTATAGAAACGAGAACCATTACAAAGACATTTTAAAATTACTTTCAAAACCCATACCACGAGAACACATTCAAACAAAAGCAAGTGATCTAGCAAGCAACTAAGAGCCCGTATATAACTACGGATGAAAAGGGTGCTAATACCTCCCCTTTTCATAATCTACCCCCCGAACTCAAGAAAACATCTCTAAAGTTCTTTCCTGTTCTTTTCAGCCTTTCCTTATTGGATAAAAGAAAAGTCGGTGGCGAATCTTGCTAACCGCAACATTTGCGATCAAACGCAAAACAACCAAGTCAGTTCTCCCATTGCATTACAGCTGCACATGGGCTAGGTCAATAGGCCTGGGTTCGATCCAGCCTTTTGACACTTTGTTTCTCTAATTTTTCATATTTTTGCAAGTTGATTATAAAGCGCGTTGGAGGCGTATCCTAGACACAAGTGCACACTTGGCCTGGTGGTATGCATGCTACGTGAAGGTCTTGGGGGCATGAGTTCAAAACTCATCTCTAGCATTCTTTTTCTCTATTTTTTTACTAACATTATTTTCTCTTTTTACCCTATTCCTAATTTCTTAATAACCTTAGTCACTTTTCTTTAATCAACATTAAAACAAATTAGGTTTAGTTTCTTACTAATAAATTAATTTTGATTTTTTTATTTATTAAATTAATTAGGATAATTAGTTTCGATTAATTTAATTACCTAAATTTATCGAATAATTAAAATCAATTAGACTTTAGGATAATTATCAAAACTCTTTTTCATCAAAAACAATCACAAGACAATTTTTTCATCTCTTTCCCCTTTTTTACAATCTTCGTGTGCTCTTTTACTTTCGCATTAGTTTTTCCCAATTATGTATCTGCTACAATATGTAATAGCTTAAATTAGGGTTTTTACTTTCCTTTTCCCTCGATTTTGTGGTTTTGTACCCCCTTCCCCGAAGCTTTACAATGGCGTATGACCTTTTAATTTCTGCCTTTACTGCTTTCCTTATAACTGTCTAGTTTAATAGGATTGTATGACAAGACATAAAAATAATCGTAGAAAACCCTAATTGCAAGATAAATAACTGAATTCAATATATTTTGCACACACTCACCTCTAGGGTAACCTCACTTGTTGCCTTCGAATAAAAACAATCATGTCCATCGAGCATGGGGATGCTTTAGCAAAGTCCCTCCAATACAAAAGATCATAGTCCCTCGATGACCCTTTGATGCTGCCTTCGGTAAACGATCTTAGTCCCTCATGATAAATACTAAAAGGGTCTCTACAAGTTGCCTTTATGATTCTACGATGACCCACACTTATCCCTTCATATTCAACGATAGGGCTTCCTACTAACTAATGGTAGGACAACACTATCTAAGGAGGAGGAAAATAACACGAAA